TTCGGTATTTTTTGGGTGGGTATGTGCCGCCCGGGACTCCAAATTGGCACCCCGTTCTAAAAACAAATTCCCCTAAAATTGACACCCCATTCTAGAAATGGGCCAATTTTTTATACCCCCTTCTAGAATTCGCCCTAAAACTGACACCCCGTTCTAGAATTGGGCCAATTTTTTATACTCCGTTCTAGAAAGTTTGTAAATTGAAATAGCCCTGTTTTTTTTAAAAAGATATTTCTTTATTTGTTCGACTTATACATCAAATAAATGCTTCTTCATAATCAGCAACAATTTTAAGCAGAAGATAAAGCCGTGATCCACAATTTTTTATACCCCGTTCTAGAAAACGCCTCTGAAATGGATACCCCGTTCTAAATCAGGAGCTTCAAAATCACGACCCCGTTGGGTGGCACATACCCGTATAGGTAATGTATGGGAGTACCCCCCCCCGGGGTTTGTCCACACGAGCCGTAAGTGTGCGACCCTCTTTATTATGTCGTTACCAGCAAACTGAATCCATGATAATAACTCTACAAACGCGCGGAAAGCCTAATGCCCACGCTCATAAAGCAATGATAACATAAAGGCGCTAAATTTTGCATACGGTGGCTTGAAATACGTGATTATATGAAAAACTGAGGGGGGCGGGAGCGTAGGTGGCGGTCGAATGACGCGAATGAACATGCAAGTGAAAGTACCGCAGTATACAGCTATTTCGGGAAAGGTTGTCGGAAAAAGTTCACGCGACAATCCCGATAGGTATTGTGGGTGGTTCTGAGTTCAATGTTCTTCAAAGAAATTTGAAAGAATAGCACGAGAGGCCATAGACATAAGTTTGCAAGTGCTAAGGGAAAACAGCAAAAGTAGGTTCGACAGCTAGTCATCAGGAACAGTGTATTGATCAAATCCCATATTACCATTCGGGGTTGTCGCGTGCACATTTCTTTATCCGGCAACCCTTCTTGAAATAGCTGTGTATCCACTGATCCGTCGCTAATTAACAATATTGTTACAACATAAAGTGCAACACCTACCCAAAAAGGTCTCGTAACCCATCACAAACACACTGTCTTCCTAAGTGAGGTCAAAATCTACAATTTCTACCCCTAGGCGAGACGGCAAGCATCCACATCATTTTCAAACGATTCAAGTAGATGATTTTCCATTGATCGGTGGGTTATAGCTTGGTTATGATAAAAGAATACTATAAAACTATAAATAGAAGTTATCAAAGAACGATATTTAAGTCCGGTTCCCCATTTTACCTTGCATGCCTTACTGAAAACAAAACAAGAACTCATAAGAACCTAGTACTGAGCAGGAAATGCCAAGAATGCAAAATATAGCGCACTTAATAAAGAAATCATCTACTCCAGAGATTTTAGAAGCACCTTTGTTCAGTAATTAACTACCTCAAGCTCACTTTGAAAAATATTGCTAAAATTTTCACAAAATGCCTTCCTAAAAAAACACCCTTTAAATACAAGTTCAAGATTTTCAAAATCCACAGCCGCTCTGGAATTAGCTTATTTTTAAAGCCAATATAAAAACAAGAATTTCCGATTCCCCACACATCGGGTATTAATGTGCAAGGTAAAAGCTGATCGCCAGACACAATGGCCGTACCGTTCTCTCCACAAAGACAAAACAAGTTTAAGTACTACTCATTTAGGAGCAACTAAACACAAGCCTCCAACTTTGAGTAAATGATGAGGTTCGCACGACGACTGAACCTAAACCATGGTCATGCCTGATCGAAAAAGTGGCATTTAAACAGAAGAGTCTTGAGTCTAATTAGCTAATTCAGCAATTATTCAAAAGCTATTAATCGTGGTCAAAATGCTACCTAATCCAGTACAACATCCCCTCTCCCCAGTTCTTAACTTGGGAAATTATCGTTTTTGCTTAGCACGCTTTATTGTTTATAATGTCAGTAAATGGTTGCAAGAATTGTAGTCTTTTATTGTAAGTAACGTACGCCTTCCGCTAAGTTTTAATTAGGTCTAGTAGGATCACTTAAGAATCATAACCAGTTGTTTATTACAATAGCTAGCTAGAGACAGACTTCCAACTTCCCGTCTTTTAACTTCTCATTTCCGACGTCCCACTTCCCATTTCCGAATTCCATTTTTTAACATTGTTTTTTTTTGTTTTTATGAAATAAGTGAATATTTAATAATGCGTGAGGAGGCAAAGCAATTTCTCTTCATTGTCAACGGAAGACAATCATTGACAATCACTATGTATAATCGCAAGATTAACAATTAGGTCTTTTCTTGTCAGCTTCACTGCGCAGAAACCCAAGGGCGTTATTAACTAGTGGGTCTGTTTGAGTCCCACAATCTAGGAGCCAGATTCAGTGTGAGACGGGGCCTACGATTTTCTGTCATCATCTAGGGAGACTATATTATTTCTATACCGATCTGCAGATGTAAAGCTAAAGTAGCACATTCTATGTTAAGACCCTTAAGTGTTGGTCACGTGACCAGCATCTACGCAAATTTTTAAATTTAAAATTTTTTTGGAACAAAAGAAAGTGTTTACATAAGAAAAGAGTTCAACTCCCACAGGATTGGTTTGGGACACCAACACGGCCGCCGTTTTATTGTTTGGGAACACCAATATGGCCGCCGTGACGTCATGTGAAAACGCTATAAACCAAGCGACTGACTGAGTTCCACGCCCTTGCCCTTAAGGCCCATGTTTGAGGGTATATAGCCAGCGAACCGAGATCAGGATATTCAGTTGATTCTTAGCTGTGGTTTGCTTCAGTAAAATCGAATCTGTCAGAGACCAGGTAAGTGTTCAGTTGAAACTTGAAACTCTCTTGCGTTTTGTCAGTTTTGGATACTGCGTGATTCAATCAGACATATAACTGGAAAGTAACAATGATAACAGTTTAATAACGGCAGTTCCACAATTTTGTGACTTTTCATCTGTGTCAGGCTCTCTGTGCGGTCAGTCATTTGCAGAATCTGTTAATTAAGTTCGACCCAAATTTGTGGCTTTGCACGAGTCTTGGTAATTTTTGGTCCCTTTGAATGCACTTGTCTCAATACACAGCGACCAGGACATCGACAGACAGTGTGGAATAATTTCAAAAAGCAATAGAAATACTCTCAGTTGCGATGTTCGCTCGTGCCTTTTAGAAGCCGATTGCCATATCAGCACAAGGTCAACTCCATATTAGCATTTCATAGTATCAATTTAAACAGACGTCGTGGCCAATTGCCGGTAAATTAGTTTATGATGCGATTTGCTTAAAGCTAATCTTTCCTTATCAATCACATTGAAAACTAGCAGCACCAACCTCTGAATCGAGAATTGGCTTATTTATGCTATCAAGTACGTTATTTTGGTCTATTTTACCTCCAACTTCCACTTCGGTCAATCGCAATTTCATGCTTGGAAGGCCTTCCTTTGTTTTGCACTCAGTCTACCGGGTCACATCGTGTCGTTGCATACAAATAACGTATTTGTTTAACCTCTTCTGCTTCCCAGGGGACACTTAACGGAGCCTTGACTGGGTGCCGGTCCGAATATGTTTTTAAAGACAAAATATTTAAGACAAGTCGCCCTTAGTTGTATAAACGTGGATAACCCAACTATTACAATCTGTTCAATACTGGGAATATTTGCTCCTTGGCTTTTAACCAGTGAGCCAGTGATTCAGTGAGTGTTCTCTTGGTTTTCACTAGTCTGAAAGCGCAACTTTTTTGTCAAAAAAGTGCGTTTTCAAATATCTTCTTTAAAGAGCTGCTCGAAAAGTTCTCTCTTCTAACCGTTACGAGAGGGATGTAAAAATGACAGGTTGCTTTCCGTCTTGCCTAGGGGTAGAAATCACAGTCTCTTTTAGGGCTCTCTGAGGAAAATTCCAACATTTTTACCATGAAGGTTTCGCTTACGGCAGAAGAGGATACGTCGGTTCTCCTCTCTTGCTTGGGGTTATGCTTATTGAAATGTCGTTATAAAAGAACCAAAAGCAGTCATGTTGCGCTGGCCCGGTTTGCCGGGTTACTAAGCAAGGTTGTTGAATGAAGGGATCAAGCCAGTCTGGAGCCGAAGCGGACGGCTGGGTGCGCTTATTTTACTCCTTTCTCTCCATAACAGCTCTGCATTTCCGGGTATTTAGTAAAACCAGGGGTAAAACCACTTACTTTAAGTTACACGGAAAGGAGAGAAGTCGAAACAAGGATTTGGGGTCACACCTGGAATTCGAGCTTGGCACTTCCCCCAACAGAAGGTCGCGCACCAACCGACCGGATAATTATTTATAAAACAGCAAGCCTGCGTAGCAAGCGTTTCCGTTTGGTTTGGGAGCAGAACGGGATTTTCGATTTTGGCCGCGAGAGAAATGGAACGAGAGCCAACCTTTCTTTCCATCCCCCTGCCCAGTCTTTTACTCGCGCCATTTTTCGCGCGATCTTTAACTCTCCTTCCTCGTTCTTTGCTTCGAAACAGCACTGAAAAGCTTGCTACGCAGGCTATAAAACAGCATACTTATTTACATGAATCGACCGAGTTCCGTTAGCCTGTGTACAGACGTCCCCTCCTTCCTCAGGAAAAAATCGAAATCGAAATCCCGATTTTTTCCTGAGGGAGGAGGGGACGTCTGTACACAGGCTAAGTTCCGTCCACACGAAGCTAGACTTGCCTACAAGTCGAGCTCAAATTTTTTCACAAGCGCGAAGCGCAAGTGGTAGATTTTTTAAGTTTTCTGCAGCAAAAGCGAACCAAAGAGCGAAACCCGGAAATGAGAAGCGAAGGACTTTGAGAAAGTCTAACACGAAGCCAGTGAATCCTCTCACCAAAACTGCATCTTTTTGAAACCGTTCTCCAGAGCCGTTTCAAGCCCAGTTCACACGGATCCGGAAAAAAAGGGGGTTTCAAAAATTCTAGGATTCGTGCGGATAAGGCCTTAGAAAAATAACGTTTATGAAATAAAGATAATGAATCAGCATGTCTCAAGCACGGGACATAATGATTATTTAACTAGTTAGGAAAGTAGTCAATTTGCTTCTTTTGTTTCTCAGGAAATGTATAAGGCGGCGAAACGTGTTTGTGTGATTGGTGCAGGACCCAGTGGAATGTCCGCTTTATATCAATTTAAGCAATTGGAAATGAAGGGACAGGAAATTCCAGAGATTGTGTGCTTTGATAAACAGTCTGATTGGGGTGGTCTTTGGAAATACTCTTGGCAAACAGGTGAGAAGCTCGTTGTTGTCCTTTTTTTTTCTTCTTGTTTTCATATCCTGATAACGAAACAGACAACAACACGTTGCTATTGGTTACCTGGACGTCACGTGACAAGTTACAATAAAACCTTTCGGTCGCCACGAAATGTTTACGTCTATAACCCACAATACACCAGGGCCCAGTTGTTCGAAGACAGATTACCGCTTAACCCGGGGTTAAATTTAACCCGAGTTTCACTCTCTTGTGTTCAAAAGCATTTTCGCGGATAATTTTCTGTGCTATTTTTAGAGCTTCCAATCTTCAGCTTGTAGACAAAAAGAATTAAAACTGAAATGCTTTTTACGCTTTCAAATCTGCATTTAAATCTCACACTAACCCTGGGTTATGTTAACCCAGCTTTGAACAACTCGGCCCAGATAGCTCTTGCACCGGCACGAAAACCGTATCGGATAAGGATATGGCTTCGGTTCATACATATGAAGACAGAACGGTTATTTTGGCGCGATTTCTGCAGCGAAGTGAAGCTGCGCCGCGTTTATCTCAAAATTGGAGTGTTGCATATGGGATAGGTTCTGTGCTACACTTTGGTACAGTTTGAACAGGTATTAACTGTAGTGCATGAAAAGGAACGAGGACTTGAAACCACTGAGACGGCACGGATATTCAGTCATTCTCGGTTTCCCAGGGAAAGTCATTCGGGTCGGGAAAACTGGAGGTGGTGGATGTTTTCAAGAACGGGCGAGAGAGCCTCTGGGATGCTACTCTTAACAAACCAGTTCCACAACTCATTCGAATACTTGTCTCTGATTGGGCTCAAAAAATATTTTTGTGCTCAATCGGAGGCCAGCATCCATCGCGCTGCTTTCGTGATCTTCTTATACGAAGCCTCCTTTTTTCGAGGAAGTGGCCCCAATAAACTTTCCGCTCTTTATCTACAGATCATAGGAAAAAACTATCGCTTTAGTAAAAAGTTTCATAGTATCCATTTAAAACAGGACAACATTACAGAGTGCGTGATACATTTGGTAAGGATTTCTAAATCTTGCGTCTCTTAAAAGTTACAGGGAAAGAGTTTACGACAGTGGATCATGGCGTCGTCGAGTCAATCTTTCAATGGTGTCTCCTGATTTGGTTGACAGTCTATTCACCTTGTAAATTAGCAATTTTATCATTTAGCTCCTAATTTTCTTCCTCTGATTGTTTTGTTGATATCGCGAAAGGACTCTATACAACGATGTTTTCAATAGCTTGAGAAAACAGTGGACAGTTTGCGACGCAACCACTGGTTTTCCCGCGAAATGACGTCTGAGGAACGAGCGCAGAAATTCCATACTGATGACGAGTCACTCACCAGATCAGGGCAATACTTCTGATTGGTAACTTGCTTCAACCTGAATCAAATGCACCATGGGTAGTGATACGTCATCAGGGAAGAAGTTTTTGCGCTCGTTTCTCGGACGACATTTCTCGAGGAAACCAGTACTGGCGTCGGGAAATGTGCTTCTCGCAGACCAGTAGTTGACCAGCATAATCCCTAACAGAACAGAACTACGTACCACATATACCTAAGAATTCTTAGGTTACTTCTGTTATGGAATAACCATCGACTGACTTCGCTTACAGGCACTGATGAATACGGGGAACCTGTGCATGGAAGTATGTATCAAGGACTTTGGACAAATGGACCCAAGGAAGCTTATGAACTTCCAGATTACACCTGGAAAGAGCATTTTGGAAAACCTGTTCCATCGTACCCACCTAGGGAAATTATTTACGATTATCTGCAAAGTAAGTATCTGATTGTTTGAAAGTCAATTCTGGTTTAGCGGATGTCAGCAAGTGACATGAATGGGCGAAACTATTTAGGTAAAAAATGATGGTACCTATAGCTAATCTCATACCCAGATCTCCTTGGCCGTGGGAGATGAAGTATTTCCCCTTTTAATATGCCTTGACGCTAACAAATTTGTATTCTTAAGAAGTGCCTTTCTTCTCACAGAGATGGTTTGCCTCAAAATTTGATCAAAATCACGCCCCAAAATTGCAAAAAGGCCAGCGCAACGCACCGGTAACGCGGAGGTCACGGGTTCGAATCCCGTTGAAGCTCTGATTTGTTTCAGGCTTCTTCTTTCCAATTGCTCAAATTAGAAATAATTTACTGCGATGATCATTCTTCACTTTCATCTACAACCGCAGTTCAAAAATGAATTATTTCATATATACTTCACATCAAGGTCACTTCCTGTTGACGTTCGTCGCTCAAAAACGTCGTTGCTTTAGCTCCCTATTTCGCCAGAAAACCGGTGGTGGCTTCGCCAAATGTCGACGGTTGTCTCAGACTATAGTACTTACAGCCCATAAATCAACGTTTGTTGCAGCTGCCAACAATTACGAATAAGAAACTTTAATTCGAAAGCCTTCCAGGACAAACTATAAACAATCGTTGCTCCTGTATGACTTCTTTTGGGCATCCATCACTCTTCGCATGAAAACAAATGCAAACTGAGTGGCAGGACAAGAAAGTAGCCTGTTCCATCGTTTACCACCGGTGCTAAAAGAGCGGGGGAATGGATACAAGTGCTAAGAATCGATTGAATCAAGTAATTAAGTTTTTCTTCCGGAGGGGACATGTAAACATTGTTACATACCTGTAGTACGCTTTTGAAATTCTTTAATATGGCTTTTTGAGCGAGCCTTTCAAACATGCTCAAATTTTGTATTTTGAGGGAAGACTGCATCAATGGGGGTTCCTGGGTAAATGACAACCTACCCTTCCCTTAAGTCACAATTTTGCCCTGAGTGAGAGGTAGGTGGTCGGTTTCCGGGGAAACGGTAATTCGGGAAGACTTTATGCAATCGCGTTATGCTCCATGTATGCTCCGTAAATTACGTCTGCAACGCAGGCTAAAATTGCGACAGCAAGCTCCTTTCTACAAACTACGAGGTTTATCGACCCCTTTCGCGGATCTAGGATTTATTAGAAGGGGATTAAGGTGGCTCCGTGATTAACACAAGAGCATTTAGCTGTGACAAATTTTCCGTCATAACTTTTTCGATTTTAACGCGATGGCTGCCAAACATTGCAATTAACAACAGATATCATTCGGCAATAATACGAAATATTCCGATTTCATTGATGGTAAATATTTCTTGAGAAATTAGCGCTTAAAAGGACCCTACTGTTCAAAGAAAATCGCGTCTAGTAAAAAATTTTGCTGATATTTTTTACTGAAATTTCTGGTATCGGCTTCAATTGATATAATAAATATGCCAGAGGAATTTCAGAAAAATCGTTGGAGCAGAAGTCCGTAACTAAAAGTCGGTCAAAATTCAGCTGTGAAATTGTTTTGGAATTTCAAAAATAAATTACTATCAGGAAGAAGGAGACACCAGTTTCAATTTTCGGGACAAGCAACTTCAGTGTGTTTGCTAATTCTGAAAACAGAAGCCGATTGCCTATCGTGCTATTCTTTAGAAGGTACTTTTCAGTTTTAGAAGCACTATAAATTGCTCCAAACTTTGCTCTGACATCGAATGACTTGTTCCTCGACGTTTTTAAAATATCCCTTGGCAGTTTTGGTTCAAACTCCTGCTACATACATTTTGATGTATTGCAAAGCATCCCCAACGGCTTTTCCTGCTTTACGTTGTTTCCAATTCAGGAAAAAGGTATTGGGATTGTAAGCTACCTAGTATCGAAGCTCAGATAGAACTGTCCAGCACCTTTGTTTATGACCAGAAAATGAGCACGAGCGGCAGCTCTGCGAGGAATTCGCACCACAGCCAGGGGGGACGAGTGACAATGATGCCCATGTCTGTGAACCGATCTGTATAAACATGTATTGCAGAGCAAAACATAATAATCAAGAAAAAAATACCCATTCATTGAAGGAAGGAGTGACAAAAATTTCAGAGTTGTAAATTTATTCACGGGCAGTATTTTTGCGATAATTTTATTCTGCACTGTGATGTTATTTGGTTCACAATCATGGTCATCATTGTCGTTCGTCCCCCCTGGGTGAGGTGCGAATTCCACGCAGAACTGTCGCTCGTGCTCATTTTGTAGTCATAAACAAAGGTGCTGGACAGTTCTTTCTGAGCTCTGATACGAGGTAGCGTCCAATCTCAATACTTTTTTCCTGAGTTGGAGGCAACGAACGGCAGTAAAAGTCGTTGAAAATGCATGGCAATACATCAAAATGTATGCAGCAGGAGTTTGAGCCAAAACTGCCAAGGGATATTTTAAAACTGTCGAGGAACAAGTCATTCTACTTCAGAGCAAGGTTTGGGGCAATTTATTGTTCTTCTAAAACTAAAAAGTACCTTTCAAAGAATAGCACGATAGGCAATCGGCTTCTGTTTTAAGAATTAGCAAGCGTTGAATTTAAAAATTTTTGAAAATTCAAACTGGTGGCTCCTTCTACCTGATAGTAATTTATTTTTGAAATTCCAAAACAATTTCACAGCTGAATTTTGACCGACTTTTAGTTACGGACTTCTCTTCCAACGATTTTTCTGAAATTCCTCTGGCATATTTATTATATCAATTAAAGCCGATACCAGAAATTTCAGTAAAAAATATCAGCAAAATTTTTTACTAGACGCGATTTTCTTTGAACAGTAGGGTCCTTTTAAGCGCTAATTTCTCAAGAAATATTTATCATCAGTGAAATCGGAATATTTTGTGTTATTGCCGAATGATATCTGTTGTTGTTTGCCAAGTTTCGCAGCCATCGCGTTAAAAACCAAAAAGTTATGACGGAAAATTTGTCACAGTTAAATGCTCATGTATTAATTACGGAGCCACCTTAAAAGAAGCTAACACCAAAGGGGGGAGTTTCTAAGGTGGGCTAAAAGTATAAAAATGAAGTTCTCAGCATTCTTACAAACAACAAGCTTCATTAATTGTAAAAATCCAGGTGATTTTTATGGCCTCAAATCTTTCGTTACAAACTTTCACTTCCACAGGTCGTTGGTCTAAAAACGATCTTCGCCCTTGGATTCGCTTCAGTCATGTTGTACGTCAAGTAACCTACAACGATTCTACCAACGACTTCACTGTAGTCGTCAAAGATCTTTCAGAAGACAAGGTCCTTCCGGCTGAGAGATTTGACTACGTCATTGTAGCAAGTGGGCACTTCTCTGTTCCAAAAATGCCTTCCTTTCCTGGAATTGACCAATTTCCGGGTCGAGTTATTCACTCACACAGCTTCAGAAATGCCTCTCACTTCAAAGGCAAACGAGTTCTTGTCATTGGTTCCAGCTACTCAGCAGAAGACATCGCTCTCCAGTGTCTTAAGTACGGCGCTGAAAATATCATCTGCTGTTGGCGAACTCGACCGATGGGTTTCAAATGGCCCCCGCGGATAACAGAAAAACCAATGCTGACCTTGATAGAAGAAAGTACAGTCCACTTTAAGGATGGTAGCACGGCAGAGGTTGATGACATCATACTCTGCACAGGCTACCATTACTCATTGCCTTTTATGGAAGAAAGCTTGCGCCTGAAGACCGACAATAATTTGTACCCTGAGGGACTCTACAAATCGATTCTCTGGACCAGAGGTGGAAATAATAAAGTTCTATACATAGGAATGCAGGATCAGTCCTACACCTTCCCTATGTTTGATGTACAAGCAAAGTGGGTGGTAAATTACATCATGGGGGAACTAAAGCTTCCTGGCAAAGAAGAGATGGAAACTGACAGCAGAAGCTGGATAACAAGGTAAACAATTGTTTATGAGGGAAAAGACACCACAGGTGGAAGAGGGAAAGAAATTGCAAAGGAATATAAAATCTCCCTTTTTTTCTTTTTTGCTAGAAAATTTCTCAGGGTAGGAACATTGTACTACCTTTGGTCTGGTAGCTGGAAATACGAACAGCGTAATTCAAATTGACGTTATATTTTATTACATTATTTATCTATTTTTTTATTTTTATACTAGCACAGGATAACTTATTCACTAGTTTACGGTGATTCATGTTTATTTTCCCTGGGTATACAGTTGTTGTGGGTCTGTGTTTGTCAGTTTTTATTAGCGCTCTTGAGTATGAATATAGTTGTAGCGCTATATAAATAGAATATCTTTAAATATCTTTATTTTCAGATTGTAGCAACTTTTTATATTATACATCCATAATCAAATGCAAGTTATGCCTAGTCTCCAAGGTAGCTCAAGGTGTAATGTGGAAGATTAAAATAAATAAATAATAAATATGCCACGACCATTTTTTGTCAGCCAAGGTCTTGCGTGATTGCGTTTCATTCAAGTTGATGTACATCTTTCCAACAGGATGGGTGAACTGAACGATGTCGATGATAGAATCGCCTTCCAAACAGCTTACGTGGCTGGCCTTGTCAAAGAATCCAATTACGGCTACGATTTAGATATATCAGAAATGCTTCATGCTTGGAACAAGACTAAACTTGATAACATTACAACTTACAGAGATCAAAGTTTTACAAGCAAGCATACTGGCCACAAGGCCCCGCTATCGCACACTCCATTTATGGAAGAGTTTGATGATTCCATGGAACACTTTCTTAAGACTGAGCAAAGAAACCTGTAAAATGCCAGAACTAAAGAGAGGCACATTTCATATATATTTTCACCTGCAACGCAAATTTTGTGTCACTGTAAATGGTTTGAGGGCCGCCGGTCATTAGTACCAAGTAAAATTTAATCCTCGGCCGGGTGGGTTGGGTAAGTGTCGGAGTTCAAATCATCGGCAATTTAGCCTGGTTCCATTATCCCACCAAACTATCTACAACTCAGCTCCAACTTTTTCAAACAATTTACTAAAGTTGGAAAGTACAGAAATTGGTCTATAATTGTCTTCGTCAAATCTTGAGTCTTTCTTAAAAACAGGAGTAATCCTTGCCAATTTTAATTTCTCGGGAAAGTTACCGCTAGCCAAGGAATCATTGCCTAAAAATGCAAGAGGCTCAGATATATAGTCCCTAATAGTTTTCAAAATGGTATCAGGTACACTGTATGGGCCAGAAGACTTGCTAGCATCCATTTTACTAATAAATGTCCAGATTTCGTGCGAAGTGACAGGGGGCGGGTAGGAGAGAACCCTGGGAACGAGGTTGACTTGAATAGACCTACTTCCGATAAATTTAAGACTTTCTCTAGTAATTTTTATCAACATCATAACTTCTATAATCTTCTGATGTCCTCGTCCGGCAAAAAAGATGTAACCTGTAAACTCGATCTATAGTCCAGCCCGTGTTGTTACCGGTTAAGAATTTACAAGGTTGCTGTGACTGTCGCGACCATTTTGCAATTTCAGTACCAAAGGACGAATACGATATGCGAAAAAAATAAAGAGGCATAATATTGTTTTTTTCAATCTAATGTTGAATTTCTTTCTGTGGGCTCGCTTCTCGCTTCCAAATAATACTGCAATTATCCGCTGATCACCACGATAAGTGACCGCTTTGCAAGTTGGGAGAACATTCTCGATCCCAGACCTCGTTTCGTCCCCTCTTCTCATTCCCTACTGGTTGTCGCCTTTACCAGAACTAGGCGTGAATTCCATTGATTGTTAGAGGTTACCTTCGTTAACTGCATAACCAGTGTCAGAAAGAGTCCAGTGAAAGGACAATATAATGACAGCTTTTCCTTGGGATCAGGTAGGTACGAATTCATTGGAATGGATGGTCCATTTGCAACTCCTTTCCCACGATTTGGGTACAGCTAGGCTGGGGTATATTGCAGAATGCCGAAAAACTCTGAAGCTTAGTAATTAGGGTTAGGAAACTGAGTGAATGAGTTTTAGTTCAGCTTACACTAGTGTAATGAACCCAACAGGAACTTGATTTATTCAGTTTCTTAACTCTAATCACGAAACTTCAGGTCCTTCTGTGTGTATTGCGACGGTTCGGCGGTCAAGTCTCGAGTATTGAATTCTAACTGGATTAATGAAGCATCAAACTTCGAAACGGCAAAGTTCGAAAAGATGATCTACGCGGAGGAAAATAGGTCAACTGACAAAGGTAAACGAAACGAAAAGCTCTTCACGCCCGAGATTTTGTTGGACACAACTAAAGTTGGACAATTAATTCCTATCATTTTGATCATACTGACCAATAAACGCGTTAATTTATTCCGTCACAATCTATGAACCAAAAACAATTCGGCAACATAAATTGTATCATTACAGTCAAGCCAGGTGAAGCGTACCCCGTAAGATACCATAAATGAATTTGTTATTCGAAAGTTGAATCCGTTGGTACTTGTAGACTTTAATTCATCTCTGCATCCTTGCATGCGCAATGAGCCATGACTTCACACGCGAGGCACTTGGGAAATTTCTACCGGCTCAGTTTCCCTGAATTTGATGTAAATGTCTTCTAAGAAATTTCATCCATTCAAAGATTCTCAATCCGTCCAAATACAGAGAAGTTCTCGTAACATATTCCCTGCTCATTACGAATGCAGAATTCCGAATTGAATTTGAATACGGGAACAACTGACGGATTCATTCTTTCAAATAATCAATTCATTACATAATATATTTACACTGGGCTGTTAAGTAAGACTTAAGAGCTGCTAAGTTTTACTTAACCAAAAAATACGTGTGAAGGCCTAAGTAAAATCTCAAGTAACTTTACTTTGAATCTCATTAAAGTCGGAAAGTTGAAACGATTCAAGAAAGTTTCAAGTGACTTGAAAACCATTATTAAACCTGACTTAGCGAACTTGCGGTTTCTAAGCTTTGAGGAACGCGAAGCATGTCAATCAATCTTAACAGGGGCACCCAACGACAATTTTCGGAAAATTTCTCTTCGGAAGACGATTTGCGATTTAGAATTTTCGGAGCTTTTGTTGTAAAATTTCTTGTTTGCCTGCCTCTCCTAGGATTTTCGAACATCTAAAAAATGGTATAATTGCCCATTTTTCACGGATTTTTACCCTTAAAAGGTCACCTAGAATTTTCGGGAGCCTTTTTTCTAGCTGAAATTTTCGAAAAGATAAGTTTGATCCCTATAATTTTCGGATCACTAGACTTTCACCTAGGAAATCCGAACAGATGGAAAATTTTTAGTGGATAAAAATATGCCTGTATCTACCTTTTAAAACCTAAAATACCTTTAACAATGCTATTTTTAAGTGGTTTTGAACTATACTCTCGTTGGGTGCCCCTGTCTTAATTACGTTGAGTGGGAAAATAGGTTTAAGTAAACCTGAAGTAAAAAAGATAGGTTGTTTGTGAAGCTTTCTTTTAAATTTACTTGTCTTGAAACTTTCTTAGCTTATTAAGGCTTTAGTGTAAACACTACCAATGATTTGATTTTTGAATCTAGGCATAGTTTGAATTTATAATTTTTCAGCTGAAAAGAACAATATTAAACCAAAAAATGAGCTAAACAGCAAAATAATCAGCTTTAATTTTATCCTTCGTAGGAAAGCTTGATCGGTTTTTACTGTGAATGGATCAAGAAAATAAACAGAACGACACAATTCGCAGTTGAAACTTTTGATCCGACGTGACCGCGGTCTCGGTCTAGTTTCCATATACGTGAATTGGAATTGTCGAAACACCCTAAGAGGTCTAAGAGCAACAAAGCATAACAACATTATTGCGACATTGGTTCAAAAGGTTGCAACATTGCTCCAATGCTGTGTTGCGCTAAAAATCGTCGTTGCGAATCGTCCCGTGACGGTGTAAACCAATCATCTGAGAAACATGAATTTAAAAGTAAGTGTCATTTTAGAAAGAAAAAGAAGTGATTAATAACGCCATTTTGTTATAGTCTAAAATCTAACGTGAGTTTCAGCAACAGACTCTGAAACCAAGAGACGCAAGTATTGGTTTTTAAGTCTTAAATGAAAGGAGTAAAATAGAACGAAAAAAAGTGTTGTAAAATTTACAAAGAGGTCCGAGCATGTGAATGACTGAAATACTTAGAGCCAAAGTTAAAATTGTTAGTTCCTTTTGGATCAGTTATATAAACATCTTTTAAGACGTATCACTTTCAAACATCGCAAGTTTACTAATTTTAAGGTGTTATTTCCAGTGAAGGCGACGGATTTTTCCTAACCGGTCCAAGACAAAAGTTGAAAAAACCGCAGAAGGGTCTTTGATCAATAAAACGTCTTAAACCCCAACATCACAGGCAGAGTATACAGGTAAAATCAGGCACTGATCGTTAGAGTCAACTCCTGTTATTCCGAAAGCCCCCTGAGGACCTCAAGTAAGCGTCTTTTTTTATGCATAAACAATATTTATTGCAACATTTGCTCTAAGAGCCTAAAGGGCTCATCTAGAGAGCTTACGTTAGCTGTTTACATTAAATATTTAAAAAATACAAATGCACATCAAGATCGAACACATCAATGACATCAATCAATCAATCGTGACATAAATTCTTGAAGAAATTCATCAGCCTAGTAAAGTTAATATCTATTTAAATGTTCTCAAAACATAGCCAAAACAAGTCTTAATGATGCTGACAGTTTCGATGACTGTCAGCCATCATTATCAAAACTAGAAAGTTATTTTTAACCCAAACATGTCCAACTTTGGCTATAAAAACCGCTACTATACTTGAACTAGTAAGTAGAGAAGAGTAGAAAAGTAGAAAAGAGTTAAAAGAGTAGGAAGATTAAGATTGTTAGCAGAAGACAAAGAAGAATAAAGGCTAAGATGTGAATCAGATTCCTTGTACCTCATCGTGTAGCGAGCGAGTTGCTCGAACACACCCCCACATATTTTGATG